TCAGGGTAGAGCCGAAAGCTTGCTTCCCAGCTGCCCGGCAAGGAAGATGGCCGGCTCTCAGGGACATCAAAGCCCCTGTTTGTCTCTGTTCTTCTGTTTCTCTACATTAACTATATTTGCTTATTTGCCATATCCTTGATGCTTTAGCATCTGGGGCCTCTGACCAGGTGACACTGCCCCTCCCAGGGTCAGCTAGTTCCTAGAAACAGAAAATGACTCACCCAGGAGCAAACCCCTCACATACAAACCAGTCGGTCCAGAGCCCTCCCCTCACCCACCTCCCTCACCAGGCTCTCTAGGGCTCATACTCTGAGCCAATATCCCTCTGCCCTGACCCCCCTTAGCCCAGGCATCATACAACTAAACACAGCACAGAGCCCACTGACATTATTCAAATAGGCAACCCTAAACCTTCTACCCTGCCTCTCCCAGGCCTTCCTGCAAACACTGCAGGTAAGACTCTCACCCATGCTTCTGCCTCCCACCCTGTGCCTCCAGACCGACGCTAGGCCTTCTCATGTCTCTGCATAGTGTGACGTGGCCCTCCTCCTGGGACCTGTGAATAACAAACTACATCTCCATGGCCCTTATCTCCTGATCTGCTGGCCTCACCATAGCTGAATAATAATGAAACCTACACTTTAACACAACCTCTTAGGCAGCTGTGTTTGCTGGGAACAGGAGTGGAGGGCGGACGGCAGGAAGTCTCATTTAATGAAGGCGCCCTCTGTGCCCAGCTGTTTCACAGGCGTTGCTTCTGCCTTCAAGCAAGGGAAGGTCACAAGAAGTGCCAAGCCAAGATTCAAATCAGAAGCATCTGACCCCACACCCTTGCCCTACCCCCAGTCCTGAGTTCCAATCCTGAGGTCTCCATGATCTGTCACATTTCGCACATTCCCCTGGAGCTCTCTTTTTTTTATTTCCCCATTCCTGCCACATCAAATGCCCTCTCCATGCTCTGTCGTCCTAGCCTGGTGCAGGGACTTCTGTTCCACCCTGCCGCGGAAGCCCTCCCAAACCAGCATCTTCACACCCACCATCTGCTTGCTCAGAAACTTCTATCCCCACTAGGCCAAGTATCCACATGGAACCACGTGGCACAGGGGCTGTGGCTGTCCCTTAACTGTGTCACAGTACTCCAACATCCGGCCTGGTGAGTGGGAAGCATCCGGTAGATTCTGGTGAAACAATTCATCAGTTAGTCCATGTCCTTCCTTGATCAATACCCAATTCTGAATACATCTTTCTGGAATCTTTCATCCTCACTTCATTAATCTCAGGATTCTTTGTGATGTGCCATGGGCTGGTCATATCTTAGGCGCATGCCCTGTCCCCTGGATCAGGGACACAAGTCCTCGTGGGGCTAGGACTGTGTCTTCTGCTCCCTGTGACCCTCCTACCCATCCCAGGGCTGGTTTGGGCACATCCGGCACCCAGGAGCTTCCAAATGGAAGGGCTGCTTGTCTGATTTGAAGGGTTTGAGCTGGAGCCATAGGAAAGGGGCTCCAGACCCTTACGGGGTAGGAGGAACACATCAAAGGGGCTGAGACCTGCTTACTCGGTGGCATTTGAGAGGACGATGCCAGGTCACATCTCACCAAGGAGACTCGCCACATGCCTCCTCCTCTCCAAGGGTACAGGAGCCCTGAAGCTGCCGCAACTGGAAGGGCAGCTTGAACTCATCAGCCTCTACAAATCATTTTTCATCCCCGGACGAATCATTTTTATTACCCTTATTATCTCATTCCCTCCTTCCCAAAAGAAGACACTCTCAACCCATAGGCATTGTCTCCCTGCGCCTCAGTTTCCTCACCTGTAAAAGGGGACCCATGATAACACCCACCTGGGAAAATTAAGTGATTTTGCATATGCAAAGCACCCAGGACCTCATTTCCATTCTCTGATATGCACTGTGACAACATAGGGAGCAACCAGTCACCCACCACTCCAAGGATGAAGAGGAATTTTCAGCAGACAAGTAGAAAAGCAAACTTATTTTTCACTCCTGGACCCACTGAAATCTCCTGAAGTGATTGTCAAAAATAGAGGTTTCCACCCAGGTGCGGTGGCGCATGCCTGTAATCACAGTGCTCTGGAAGGTTAAGGCAAAAGCATTGCTTGAGGCTAGGAGTTTGAAACCAGCCTGGGCAACAGAGTGAGATCCCATCTCTACCAAAAAAAGTAAAAAACTAAAACTAGAGGTTTTCTAAGATCAACCCATGCCTACCGAATCAGTCTTGGGTAGAGCTTAGAAGTCTGCATCTCTAATAAGAACCCCCGGGATTCCTATGCCCACTGGTCTCTATCTTGACCACGATGGGAAGAAAGGAACCCCAGGAGGCCCCTCCTGCCAGCCACCAGTGAGACAAGCTGAGGAGGCCTGACTTCCCAAGAAGTCACACCTGTTGGCTAACGTCAGGTCAGTAAAACTCTGGAGTCTGCAAAAAAGACTGAAGTCCCCACTGACAAGCAAACTGACATAACATTGGAGGCCAGTCACCACTGCCATCAACAACCATGTCTCTCCCAAAGGGACTGTAATTCACCCCAATCCACCCCATGTGGAATCTGGCTTTGTCCCTATCACACAGGGTTCCATGGAGGTCGTAGGGTCCACAGTTGAGCCAGCCGTATCGTCTCTGTCTCAAGGACTTAGAAGCTTAGATTCCACTTAGAGTCAAGGACTTCGAATAGAACGGCACACTATATGTTGATAACACAGCAGCTTTGACCAAGGCTGAAGGCAGAGGCTTGAAGAACAAGAGACCCAAGAGGGGAGGGTAATCTCGGAAGGGTGGAGGCACCGGGGAAGAAGGCTTGAGAAACACAGCCCTGGACCCAACTCTGAGGGGCCAGAGGGATGTGACCAGCACAGATGAGGGAGGCCTTGCTTGCCAAGAACTCAGCTGAGTCCAGCATGGGAGGCTGCGGTCAGAAGGTGGGTCTGGAGGGGTAAACTGAGGCTGGCTGGGAGAGGACTATGAACACCACATAAGGAGCCAGGATTTTCTCCTGCTTAGAGTCAAATGCTTCAGAGCCAAATTCCTCCCTTGCATGTGTTTCCTCTGGCCCTTAGAGTGGTTTTGATGTTGACTTTTCAATTAGAAGCCAGGATTTTAAAATTGAGAATGGTCACATCACTGCCTGGATTCTGAGCTTCTCTGTCATGGTGGGAGGACCAGGCCCTGCAGGATGCGTCCTGGCCTGTTCACTTTAGTTGCCCGGCCCCCACAGACAGCAAGTTTGGGGCCTTTGCATGGGGACTTGGAGGCTCTTGGAGGCCCTTGGTCAGAGGAGGGGTGGAATGAGGTCTGTGCTCTGGGAGGTCGGATGACAATAAATATCAGCCAAGATGAGAAGGAAGAGGGGAGAGGCTCATATTTCTTGAGATTTCGGGATGGAGGTTCCCCCCCGCCCCGGCAACATCCAGTAGCCCTCTTCGTTCTCACCACAACCTGATGTGGTGTATACGCTGTCATCTCCTTTTTAAAAAAAAATTTTTAGGCTGTAGTCTCACTCTGTCGTCCAGGCTGGAGTGGGGTGGCACGATTACGGTCACTGCAGTCTCAACCTGCTGGGCTCAGGCGATCCTTCGGCCTCAGTCTTTCAAGTAGTTGGAACTACAGGCGTGTGCCACCATGCCCAGGTAATTTTTTGATGTATTATAGAGATAAAGTCTCACCAAGTTGCCCAGCCTGGTCTCCTGGTCTCAGGTAATCCTCCTGCCTTGGCCTCCCAAAGTGCTGGTATTACAGGCTTGAGCCACCACGCCCAGCCATCTCCCATTTTTAAGATGAGGAAATGGGCCTGGCTTGGTGGCTCAGCCTGTAATTCCAGTGCTTTGGGAGGCCGAGGAGAGTGGATTGCCTGAGCCCGCAGGTTTGAGACCTGCCCAGGCAACTTGGCAAGACCTCGTCTCTACAATAATCAAAAATTAGCTGGGCATGGTAGCGCGTGTCTGTAGTTCCAGATACTTGGAAGGCTGAGGCAGAAGGATCGCCGGAGCCCAGCAGGTCGAGGCTGCGGTGACCGGGAGCGTGCCACTGCACTCCAGCCTGGGCGACAGAGTGAGACTCCAACTCAAAAGAAAATAATAATAAGATGAGGAAATGGAGGCACAGAGAGGTGAAGTCCCCTGCCTAAAGTCGCACAGCTGGTAGGTGGCAGAGTCAGGTGGTCTGGATCCAGCATCCTCAGGTGACAGAGGAAGAGGGAGAGTAGAGGGTGGGGTTGGGAGAGCTCAGTCTTACTTGGGCTTCTCGCTCCAAGAGGTTGTCTGGTTTTAAGGGAGAAGCTGTGTCCTACATCTAACACTTATCTGAGCACTGATCCAGTGTGTTTTGCCAAACCGCTCCAGAAGGCTGGTTCTTCTTAGGAACTTGCCAGGCAGGGAAGGAGGGCAGAGGCATTCAAGGGCTGGGTCAGGTGGCTTGGCTGCAGTCCCTGGCTCCAGCCTTTCCAGCCATGCTCCTTGCTTGACCAGGGAAATGCTGACCCCACCATAGGACCAGCAGACCCCACAGGAATGATACCATCCACACCTGCTAGGGCCCCACCTTCCCGATGGCTCACCACACCCAAGCTTCTGAGTCCAGTGAATTTGCAAGACAGGAAATAAAGTGCATACACAAAGAATGACCAGCCCCTTGTGTCTCCTGGCATCCCGTGACTGGTTAAGCGCTTCTTCCCTCCCCGTGTACACACTGGACTCTCCTCACACCCTGCAGTTGCTGGCCCAGACAGCTGATCACAAGCCCAGCCCTGGGCAGACCCTACCCCCACAGCCAGGGAAGGCTCAGAGGAGCCCAGCTGCTGGGAGCTGCCAGCCCCGGCCCTAGCGGCCACTCTCCACAGCACAAAGTCACCTTTGCTCCAACTCTTTCAGGCCGGCCAGAGCCAGCCCAGAGTTCCCTCCCCTCAGCTCAGCAGGATCCAGGAACTGTTCCCTATTGGGCAATTATTAATCAGATTCTTGACATTCCTCAGCCCCAGAGAGAAGCATGCTCCCCACAGGGACAGAGGCCCCGGACTGGCATTTGGACATGCAGCTGACCAGCAAGGTAGTGCTGTCAGCGGCAGCCCTGCTCCTAGTGACTGCAGCTTACAGGCTCTACAAGTCCAGGCCTGCCCCTGCCCCGCTGCAGGGTGGGAGGGCCAAGGTCGAGGAGGAAGCTGAGGGCTCCGGGCAGCCTACAGCCCAAGGAGCTTCTCCCGAGGCGCCGCAGAGGGGACCCAGACGCCGGAGAGCCAGCAAGGAGGCCAGAGCACCGCCGGGCTATAGCTGGGAGGATCCTGGAGGGCCCTGCATCCTGCCGGCGGGGGCCACTTCCAGGGCCAGGTCACCCCCGAGGAGAGGCTCTGGCAGGGAGCAGGACGCGCAGGACCCAGGCTCTGAGCAGGTGTCTCCTCACGGTCGTGGCCAGGGAGCCAGAACAGCTGTTGGCGGTAAGCCCGACCCTCCCCACCACCCTCATTTGGGCAGTGACCCCCAACCCACATTGGACAGCAGCTGTAAGGGTGCTGAGCCTCCTGCATGGCAGGGTGGTGGATCCCCCAAGCGGCCAGAGGGCCCCCACTCGCACCAGATGGCCCCCACGGAAGGCAGCAGTGACATGAACCAGGGCTGGATCTTCACCCGGGTGACCGGGGTTGGCGGGGAAGAAGCCGGGGTCTTCCAGGCCACCTCAGATGCAGGCCTGGCCCTGCACCAGCAGGAAGGAGTTACCAATGCCACCTACACCTTCTCGTCCGTGGCCAGGGTCCGAATGGAGGAGAATTTCATACGGAATATGGAGGAGGTTGGGGCGCAACTGAAGGGCAAGGTGTATGACTACTATGTGGAATCCACCTCTCAGGCTGTCTCCAGCGGCAGGCTGGCCCCCAGGGTGGCAGCCCTGGCTGAGGTGCCATCCCCTGGGCCCCGGGGAACAGAGACAGCCTCCGCGGACCCAGCCAGTGACAGGGAAGGTGGAGCCGAGACGGCCACCTCCCTGCAGTCCGTGCCCTCAGCCCCCACCCCAGGTTTTGGCAGGAAGGAGAGCCTCCTGCAGATAGCAGAGAACTCAGACCTGCAGCTGCAACCTGACCAGCTCCCCGCTCCACCCTGCTCAGACCAGGACACCCTGCCCGGCTCAGCCGCAGGCAGTGAGGACCCCCACGTGCAGCTGGTGGCTGGGACCAACTTCTTCCACATCCCGCTCACCCCCGCGTCCGCCCCGGACGTCCGCCTGGACCTGGGCAATTGCTACGAGGTGCTGACCTTGGCCAAGAGGCAGAACTTGGAGGCCCTGAAGGAGGCGGCCTACAAGGTCATGAGCGACAACTACCTCTGGGTGCTGCGCAGCCCCGACATCTACGGGGGCCTGAGCGGGGCGGAGCGGGAGCGGATCCTCCAGCGACGTCTCCGGGGCCGCAAGCACCTGGTGGTGGCCGACGTGTGCCCCCGGGAAGACTCCGGCCGCCTCTGTTGCTATGACGACACGAGGGACGCCTGGTACCCGCTGGCCCACCTGCCCCCCGAGGCCGTGTCCCGGGGCTGTGCTGTCTGCAGTCTCTTCAATTATCTCTTCGTGGTGTCCGGCTGTCAGGGCCCCGGGCACCGGCCCTCCAACCGCGTCTTCTGCTACAACCCACTAACAGGCATCTGGAGCGAGGTGTGCCCGCTGAACCAGGCCCGGCCACACTGCCGGCTGGTGGCCTTGGATGGGCGCCTGTACGCCATCGGGGGCGAGTGTCTGCACACAGTTGAGTGCTATGACCCCCGCCTGGACCGCTGGGCCTTCGCCCCGCCGCTGCCCAATGACACGTTTGCCCTGGCGCACACGGCCACGGCGTGTGCCAAGGAGATCTTCGTCACGGGCGGCACGCTGCGCTATCTGCTGCTCCGCTTCTCAGCCCAGGAGCAGCGCTGGCGGGCCGGCCCCACGGGGGGCAGCAAGGACCGCACGGCGGAGATGGTGGCGGTCAATGGCTTCCTCTACCGCTTTGACCTCAACCGCAGCCTGGGCATTGGCGTGTACCGCTGCAGTGCCAGTGCCCGGCTCTGGTACGAGTGCGCCACGTACCGGACACCTTACCCGGACGCCTTCCAGTGCGCGGTGGTGGACGACCTCATCTACTGCGTGGGGCGCCGGTGCACCCTCTGCTTCCTGGCCGACGACGTCTCGCCCAGGTTTCTGCCCATGGAGCTGCAGAGCTTCCCGTCTCCACAGGGCATCCTTCTGCCCACCGTACTGACCTTGCCTGCACCCGATGTGCCTCAGACCCGCGTCTAGCAGCCCCTCTGCCGAGCTTCTCTTGCAAAACCCGGAAGCAAAAGGATTCTGGTGCTACCCATCACTCTGTGGGCCATTGCTGGACAATCAGATGGCCCAGGGATTTGGCCACCAAGAAGCGAATTAGAATCCTACCTCCTCTGCTTACTGGCTTGGGGTAGGGGCAGGGGTCTTAAAGGAGTCTTCACCCTCCATGAGTTGCAGAGGCCCCCTGCAGAAAGGGGAGCAGAAGACATCCACGGCTGCGGGGATGCCCACCACCTTGCTTCGGTGATGAATTCTCGGGGGGTACACCAGGACCTCAGCAAAGCTTAGGAGTCACAGCTGCAGGTGCCAGCGGACCCCTCAGCAGCCCCTCAGGTTGGGTCTTCCAGAGAGGGGCTGGCTCTCTGAGACACCAGTCTCTCTTCCTAAACATTGGTCACTGAGCCTACTTATGAGGGTCCCAGAAGCACCTGGGATACACAAGTGGGAAACATTGTGAGAGGTGACTTGGGTGGGACCAGAAAGGAGCCGGGGGAGCCCCAGGGGTCTGGCCAGACAGAGCCCGTGTTTTGAGAAGTAGGACAGCAGAAGTTAGCTTGCAGAGTAAATTTCCCAAAGTCCACTTTCCTTTTCTCCTTATGGGAAGGAAGAGAAGCGTCCACTGAAGTAAGCCGTCCTTTTGTAGAGGTCTATTGAGGACACAAGCAAGGTCTCAGGAGAGGGCAGAGAGGATGGTCCACAGCCCCATCCCCTCCAGTCCCTGCTTGTGCTGACCACTGCCCTCATTTCCAGATCTCAGAACCCTTCCCAGCATCCCAGCCCTCTGCGTGGAAGCTGGGGCAGCCGCCACCCATCAGCGCTTCGGGGCAGGTAACAGGTGACAGGAGGATTTGCCCTCCCTGTGCCATGTGGTCACCCTGTTTGCCTCATCAGACAGTAGACAGGCAGGGAGGATCTAGAAGATTCCAGATGGGATCTCCCGTCATGTTTTCAGAAATTCTGAAATGGGAAAAATCCCTGACTGTTCTCTTGGGAGGGAAGGGAGAAGGACTGGTCCAATCTATCCCCAGAGGCCTTGTCCCTCCTCTGAGGGAGACACGGAGATGGATGAGAGGGCAGTGATGCTCTCGGTCCTAGCCAGAAGCCGGGGAGATGGGAGACACAGCAGGGAAGGGTCTGACAAGACAAGTTCACCTTGGACTACAGTGCCTTGAAAACAGGAAGAACAATTCATGTCCTGTCTGCCTGGGAGGTCAATGATAGCCCACGGAGAGAGTTTTTCCTGCATTCCCAGGTGGGCCCAGCCGGAGCTCGTGAACATTGCAGCTGCTGGCTCAGGCCATGGCTCTCATTGGAAGAAGCAGGATTGGGACAAAGGGTGAGAATGAGGTTGGTGTGGAGATGAGAGGAGAGGCTGTCCTGGGCCACATGAGGCCACCATCTCTGGCCTAGGGCCTGGGAAAATGAGGCAGCTGATTTATTCCTAAATCAGAGACCAGGAAGGGAAAGTCAGCTGAAACCACAGCTGGTCCCTGGGGAAAGTGACCCTCCTTCTCCAGCCAAGGCCATGTTCAAACTCAGTGTCAACACTCACACATGAACCTCCAAGGGACCTGTGGGTGGGGAGGATGGCTTCAGTGATGCTGGCCGGGGGGGAGGGCTTCCTGGGAGGAGAACCCCACCTGTGAGCTGGGGGCAGGTGAGCCAGACCCAGCTGCCCAGGACAAGCCTGGTGAGGAGCCAGGCAAAGGAAAGGACCACAACCAAGCTAGCCGAGGTTCAGAAAAGGTTCCAAGCCCAGGAGGAACGAGAGCCACTCTGGAAAAACATCCTGCAGCCCGTTGCATATCTATGGTAGCCACGAGGGACAGGCAGCAGAATGGGTACCAGCTCCCAGTCGATGGTGAGTGTGGTCTTCATAAGGAGAGGGAGAGCTGAGATTTGGCCCAGGCTGAGACGAGGAGCACACGGTCCATCTCCTCTCCCTCCCTCACAGCAACATTGGCAAAGCCACTGATCAATTGCAGTGTCTCTTCCTGGTGATCCCCTTCCACGGTCTCGTGAGTGTTCCAACACAGTGTCCCCGGCAGCCACTCCCAGTAGACCAGCGCCGGTGTGTTTATCATCACTGGCCTGGGTCTCTGGAGTCGAGTTTCAGGTGGAAGTGGGAAGGGCCACTATGGTGGAGAAAGGTGGCTCAGGGGTCCTGGAAAGCCCCGCCGAGGCCCCCCCAGTGGCCGGGGTCCATGCATTCAACTCTTGAAACACACAGTTACAAAACGTGTGGGCTGGGCGCTGTTCTAAGTGCCAGGAACACGCAGACCCCAGCCTAACGGGACTCGCTTTGCCACGCCCACGGGGGAGGGCAAAGCTACATCCGAGGAGGGGCATCCTGGTGTAGGAAGAAGGATGAGAGCCCAGCTATCCTGGCTTGGCCTTAAGGGAAATAACTCAGTTGCACAGTCATTGATAACAGAGACTCCTCGGGCAGAAACAAGCCCTGTCCCTCCACATGACAAAAGCAGAGCTCTCACACATGGGGGCGAAAGCCAGTGTCATTACCAGGATGTCACAGGTGTTATGCCCAGGTGTGCAGCTGAGATCGCTTCATGGGGCCGAAGTCTCAAATTTCCACTTGACCTTGCTTGATAGCCTGAGGTCTGTTGACCTCCTGCCCTTTGCCTCAGAGTGACCTGTGCCATTGGCTCCCCCGTGGGTCACCTGTTCTGCTTTTTCGGTAACAGTTCTGTCTTCTTTAGAAAAACAAAAATAATTAAATTTCAGGCGCTTTCCACTTTAAGTCAGCCACACTCATTCTAGAAAAAAAAATTAAAAACAGAGAAAAGTATAAACAATCTCCCCAGTTTTGCCGCCCAAAGACAACCCCCTACTGTGGTGCGTGTCCCTCTGGTCTTTTTCTTCTGCATGTATTTTTTGTTCGCCTTGCTTGATTTTTGCCTAGGTGTGATTATGCTAAATAGACAATTCAGCTGCTTCCTTTTTTTTCACTTAGCATTTTATAATAAGCATTTTCTCGTGTTATTACAAACCCTCGGTAAACATCATTTCAATAGTTGCACAATATTCCATCGAGTGAGCATACCAAGGCTTATTTAAACATCGCCCCTCCTGTTGGCCCATAGAGTTTTGTTTTCTGTTGGTTTCTTTTTCTGTCCTAAATAAAACATCCTTTGTTTTCTTGTTCTTCTCTGCCTGGAGCCTCCATCAATATTTACAAGAGAAGTCCAGTCTAGGTCCTGTCTGGAAGAGCAGAGCTATTGGAACAATCATAGAAGCCACAGTGTCTGCCTAGGGTAGGTGCCCGGGCCCCTCTGACAGCAGGACACACAGTTGTCCATGGAAACGCCCAGCGAGAGAGGTGAGGATGGTGGGAGGGGCCATCCTCGGTCCTTCCCTGTGAGATGCCTAGCCTGCTGAGACAGGGAGCCACACTCCTTGGGCTCTTCTCTTCCCTACATGCTTCCACGAGCAGGGACCCCCAAAAAACCTGGAGTTATCTTTTGGAGGTCAGGCCTCTTGTAGTACAGGCATCCCCCGCTAGGGAAGTATTCTAGGAACCCACTGGCATCAGTGTACCAGCGAGTGTTGTTGGGAGAGACTGGGTTGTGGAAGAAATGTACCGAGTTGTGGCAAACAGGTGACTGTTTCTTCCACCATGACAACACGCCTGTCCACATCAGCAGTTTTTGACTGAAGAATCTTGCCCTGAGTGACTTTTTTTTTGTTTCCCTGTTGAAAAAAGTTCTCAAAGAGAAATATTTTGCCAATGTGGAAGAACTGAAACAAAAAATGGCACAAACACCAAAAGACATCAAAACTGACAAGTTCAAAAACCATTTGGAGCAACAGGAAAAGTATCCCGATCGGTGTATTGCATCAAACCGAGAGTATCCTGAAAGTGACCGAAATCTAAACATGTAGGAATAAATACACAATATTTTATAAATAAATTCTGGGGTTTTTGCCCCCCGCATACACTAGATCCTCACAACAAGCCCAATTTATAGGTGAGGAAACTGAGGCTCAGAGTTTAAGGAAATTTGCCTTCATGGCAAACTCCGAAAACCCGTTTCCTTAAAAGTGTGCTTGAACCCAGCTTCCCCAGCACCAGTGCGATACTCTCTCCTCTCCCCTGTCACAAGACAGGGCTGAGCAGTGACCCAGCATCAGGCCTGCCCCTTGTCCCACCTCCACCCTTCTGTAAAACGGGTTTGCCATTGCCAGCCTCAAGAGGATGTTGTGAGAACTGACTCGATAATACGGGTAAAGCACCCAGCCCAGGAACTGCTCCTGAGTAGGTCTGGGAAGAACAGTGGTCTTCTGCAGGGTCTGCCCCAAACCTGCTTGGAGGAAGAGGGTTTTCTTGTACCCTTGCCCCCTTTTCTCAGGATCCTGGCCCTGAAGGAGGAAGGCCGTCTGAGACTAAAGTTCTTGTCCGGGTGGAGGATGCTCAAGAGAAAAGTCCAGCCAGGGTTTGAGACTGAGCCTCTGCTCTCCTCTTCCTGCTCAGAACTGGGGACGTTGCATTTCCCCAGGCTTAAAGCGTTAAGTAATTTCCTAGGGAGTCAGCACTGAGGAGCTTCTGAAGCTGCCCAGAGACCCCTGGAAATCCCAAGGAGATATAAGATAGAGGGGCTCCCTTCCTCTACAGATGGGGAGTAACCACCGCTCAAGGGAGCTGGGAGTGTCTGGGCTCCTCTAAGCCACAGACAGAGGCAGCCAGCACTTCCCACTTTTGTGATCTGTGTGGCCTGGGTGTCCCCCTCAGAGCTCCTGAAGCTGTGGCTTCAGCCTAGAGCAGCCCCTAGGCTGCCGGCAGGAGGAGGGAGATGAAACAGAAGGGAGGAGGTATCTTCAGGGAAAGAGAAGAAAGGACAGCCTGAAGGGAAGTCGCTACAAACAGCTCTGAGAAAGGTGGGATGTGGGTCAAAATAAAACACAACTGGAAATGCAGTCGTGGCTAGGTTGCCTTTTTGTGTGCAGGGAGGAGATAG